ACTAAGGAATTGGTTTTGCTGATAATTTGTTACAATCAAAGTTCATGTTACATTGGCACTGTCTAAGGGGCCCACCAGTTCATACTTGATTTTGTATGTGTGTCCTTACCATATGGTAATAAATCTTAACAATGTACTTTCAGCCCACCTGTAGTTAGTAAGGATTAGTCTGCTTATTTATTTTCTCCTGGTATGGGTTATGGCATCACATAGCATTTTTTATTTCAGCTCAGAGTATTTTTTAAATTATATCCAAAAATTTCATTACTGTCACCACCTAAGAAAATTCAGGGAAAAATTTAATAAGGTCCTCTTCTATTTAATTTCATACATACTAAATTTTTCCTTAACATTTATTTCAAAGATATTTTCATTATAGATTCTTTTTTCAGTTTATACCTGTAATATGTTCTGTAAATGTGACTTCCTTTCTAGGAGAAATTTATATGACTTGATGAACAGATAATTGAATAAAAATCTAGGGCACGGGGCTGGTGGAGTGGTTCATGTAATAGAGTGCCTGCATAGCAAGTGTGAGGCCCTCCCTCAATAAATATAAGGAATCTTTTGCTCTCAGTATTGTATCCCCAGTAGCTGAAGTGCACTGGTTTCTTACTAAATACTTTCTGAATGAGTAATCTTATTCTTAAAAGATAGTGCCTTTGAGAAGAGGCTCGTTTGTGTGACCTAAGGGATTATCTTCTGCTTCTTAAACTTCTGTTTAAGTCATTGGACTAGGCTTTGCACACTGCCCAAATCTCCTTCCTCATAAACCCAAGGCTAGCAGTGCAGATAAACAGTTTGCTTTATGAGAAACTGAGAATTATGCTGCTGGTCTTTGAGAGGAGGATTTTAAGGGAAATCAAGATGCAAGGTAAAGATGATGAAGCCTTAACCTTGAACGTTCCCAATTCTGACCCATATTATTTAAGGAAAAGATAGGTAGAGAATTTAGGAACATAGAGCAAAGACTAATTTAACAGACTTCTTTGTTTTGTGGTTCTTTTGAAAGCTGAGCATTTAGAGGTATAGTTGTTCACAATCATAACTGCCTTTTGATGGCCAGTATTTTCTACAAAAAAATGCACAAACTATTAATGCGTAGCACAAGCCGGGCACTGGTAGCTCACACCTGTAATCCAAGCAATTTCAGAAGCTGAGATCAGGAGGATCATGGTTCTGAGGCTAACCCAGGCAAATATAGTTAGTGAGACACCATGTCCAAAATAACAGGAGCAAAATGGACCAGAGATGGAGCTCAGTAGTAGAACATTTGCTTTGCAATTGCAGAGCCCTAAGTTCAAACCCCAGTCCCACCAAAAAAAAAAAAGAAAAAGTGCATAGTCCAATGAACTTTTACAAAATGAATACATAACTAGCATGCTAGTTAAGAAACAGGACATGCTTTCCACCCCAGATTCTCCCGTGGCACTTCATTCCAGTAATAACCTTTCTCCAAAGGTAACTACAATCTAGACTTTCATACGATAAGATTGGAATCATGTGCTCTTCTCTGTCTGGTTTCTACCCTTTAATTTCTAAGACTCAGCCTTGCTGATCTGTTCATTCAATTCTGTGGCCTAGTAGTATTTCTTCAAATGGATGCTCCACTACCTTTTTGTTATTTTACTAGGCTGTACATTAAGTTGTTTCTGTTCTTTAGCCATCATTTTCCTTTGGTAGACACATACACACAGTTCTGTGAGGTATGTACTTAAGGAATGGACATGGTGGGCACAAATGGGGCACAGGCCCTGCCTTAATTGATACTAGCAAAGAGCTTTAAGGACTGGTTGTGGCAATGGACATCCCATCAGCAATGACAAGAGTTCTAGCTCTGCACCTTCAGCAGGACTTGAAAATAACTTTTTCAATTTTTAGTTGTCTGTATGTGTTGTGTGTCAAGTGATTTTATTTAGCCTTTGTTAAACTTCCTAAATTTTTAACCATGACTTATTTCACCTGTGTATACTTTATTATTCTGGCTTGAATTTACATCCTAGAGAGCAGGGACCATGGGTTAGACATGAATGACTCTAATATACCCACTGGGTATACTTTTGTTAAGGTGAATCTTGCTTCTATTAGGTGATCCATTAAAAGATGGTAGATAGAGTAGGAGAGAGAAAAGAAATAATACAAATACATTTTATTGATATGCATAAAAACTCAAGAGAGTATTCCTCTTAATTTAGTTAGATTTTATTTTTCATTTGTGTCTTTAATCCACACTGCTCCATGTTGGGCTGAAAATCTAACTGACGGCCCCCGTTATCTACATGCCATAGTAAGTTGCTTTCTTTATTCTATTCTGTAAGGCAAAAGAATAATTAAAAAGTGTATTTCCTGCAAATTAAAACCACACTAAGATTCCACCTCACCCCTGTTAGAACAGCCATCATCAGCAACACCACCAACAACAGGTGTTGGCGAGGATGCGGGGAAAAACAAACCCTCTTACACTGTTGGTGGGAATGTAGACTAGTACAACCACTCTGGAAAAAAATTTGGAGGCTACTTAAAAAGCTGGACATCGATCTACCATTTGATCCAGCAATACCACTCTTGGGGATATACCCAAAAGACTGTTACTGCAGAGGCACCTGCACATCCATGTTTATTGCGGCACTATTCACAATAGCCAAGTTATGGAAACAGCCAAGATGCCCCACCACTGACGAATGGATTAAGAAAATATGGTATCTATACACAATGGAATTTTATGCAGCCATGAAGAAGAACGAAATGTTATCATTCGCTGGTAAATGGATGGAATTGGAGAACATCATTCTGAGTGAGGTTAGCCTGGCTCAAAAGACCAAAAATCGTATGTTCTCCCTCATATGTGGACATTAGATCAAGGGCAAACACAACAATGGGATTGGACTATGAGCACATGATAAAAGCGAGAGCACACAAGGGAGGGGTGAGGATAGGTAAGACACCTAAAAAACTAGCTAGCATTTGTTGCCCTTAATGCAGAGAAACTAAAGCAGATACCTTAAAGCAACTGAGGCCAATAGGAAAAGGGGACCAGGTACTAGAGAAAAGGTTAGATCAAAAAGAATTAACCTAGAAGGTAACACCCACGCACAGGAAATCAATGTGAGTCAATGCCCTGTATAGCTATCTTTATCTCAACCAGCAAAACCCCTTGTTCCTTCCTATTATTGCTTATACTCTCTCTACAACAAAATTAGAGATAAGGGCAAAATAGTTTCTGCTGGGTATTGAGGGGGGGAGCGGGAGGGGGTGGAGTGGGTGGTAAGGGAGGGGGTGGGGGCAGGGGGGAGAAATAAACCAAGCCTTGTATGCACATATGAATAATAAAAGAAAAATGAAAAAAAAATAAAAAAAAATAAAAAGTGTATTTCCTCTGTGGATGAGGCTGACTACATTTCTTTAGGAATATAGTTTGGATTTCTTATGGTCAAGCTAAGTTATTTCTCTTTCTTCATCTGTCAGTACCAAAATCAACAGAAGTCACAATCCCAACACCAAACTGTTCTTTACTCCTTCAAGAGAAAAAAACAACCAGTGTGCCCTAATGGTGCATGCAGATATCTAAGGACACAAAGAAAGTCCTGTTAAAATTCTCTTTTACCCAACTGCTTTCAAAATAAGCAAATAAAGGTAAGGAAGAATAATAGCTTCATCCCAACACCTTGATGGCATTTAATAGTAACAGTTCTCTTCACCGGAAATAAGAGAATTCTATAAAAATGATAATTACCCTCCTGTGAGTATATGGAACTCATAAAACCTGAAGAGTTTGAAAAGGTCGGCAAGCATTGAAGGTTTTGTCCTGGGGATAAATTTCTAAATAATCCCAAGGAGAAAGAGAAGGAAGGAGGGAGAGAAAAAAGTTTAACTTGATGAAAGTAAAATGTGCGAACTTAACAGTTTCTGGATTATCATTTAATTACAGCCATCCATCACCTCACATCTGCTTCCTCCCAGACCTCAAGAAATTCTATCGAAAGCCATCTGATCCCACCAACAGAGAATATGTAGCCCATTAAGAATCCTTAGGAGAGGGGAACAATATTTAAAGTGTTCCCTGAAGAAGATTTTAGAAAATTGCCTAAAAACAGGATAGCAGAATCCATCTTTCAACAAATTCTAGGACAACCCAAGAATAAAACGATACTTTTTTATTATTAAGAAAACAGTGCTTCTTTCTCTCTACTAGATTGAACAGGAACTGACAATCATTTTCAAAGGGCTTTTCTTTACAGATTATTTCATTTAAATCCATTTTTATTAATGCATGAAACTGACCTGCAGTTAGTCATTTTATGAACATCATTTTATATTCTCTTTAAAGGAGGACCATTTAAAGTTGAGCTTTTAGAAATACATTTGTTCTGTTAATTGGTGCTAGGGTACGCCAACAAATGTCTTTCTGGATAACTGTTATTTTTAAGGTTTAAAGTGTATTAATTTGTTCTTATTGAAAGGGTTCATATTGCCTGTCCCTAAATTCTGTACTTGTTTTTTTTTTGGAGAATTAAATGGCATTAGTCTTTTTAAACTCCAGTGTGTTCAGAAGCGTTTCAACTATGGTAATCCTCTTGTTATGCTGCATTTATCTCCCCATAGAGATAAATGCTTCCCTCTTCTTCTCAGGCAGATAATTGCAGTGGGGTTGGAATGAGAGAAAAGACTTAAGCTGGTGCAGAGCAGTGGATATAAAAAGAAGTGTCACTCTGGTGGAAGTAAATACTCTGAGACTGTAATCTGTGCCCTCATTTATTTCTGAAACCATAAATGCCCCAGGGAAAGCTAGTCATTTATGTGTCTACAGAAATATTTGCCTGCAATCATGTATGGTTTTTAACTTGGTTTTATTTTCATACATTCTGTTATAGCAGTATTCTCTCTAGTACCACCTTGGTTTTCTCTCTCAATATGGGCTCCATTGCAATGTTTTGGCCATAGCCATCAGTGTTCTCTGTCTTTTTAAAATAATGGTGGTTCATTACCTGTTTTCCCAACAGAGTTCATCTGGTGATTTAATGATCAGAAACATTCAGCTAAAGCATAGTGGGAAGTATGTCTGCATGGTGCAAACTGGAGTGGACAGCGTTTCATCTGCTGCCGAGCTCATCGTAAGAGGTAAACATCAGTGCCTCCTTGGATTGCTTAGCTTCACATCTTAGCTGAGCATTCCCTACTGGAAGAAAAACCATGATGAGATGATATATGAGCTTGCAAGTTATAGTATTGATTTGATCCCCTTAACATACCAGAGAATCAGAATGGGTGTTCATTCCAAGAAATAAAAATCTCAACTCTGCCCTTCAAATAACTCTCACTGTCATTGGCCATCCACAGCTGCCAACCTGATGTGTTTTTGAGAATGTCATTAATTCAGCAAATATATTTAATATGAGAGAGAATATTGTCTGTGTGTGTCTGCTTCCAAAAGAATCAGGGTTATGCAGGATGCCCAGAAAATTAATCAACTTGTGCGACTGTCCAGGGTGCTGGTTTGCTACTCAGCTGAAAAATGACCACCGTGCGTCATAGAATAAAACACCTCCAGATAACAAACTGAGAACTACAGAGTTGCAACAGTGAATTTAAGGAGAAAGCATCTTGCCTAAAAGTAAAGGATACTGATTTCAGAAAGGTACAGGAGTCCTGATTTGTAGAGTCTGAAAATGTAGGTGTCACTGCAATCATGTAGTATTATGATTTTGGAATGACTGCCGCACATCCAGATTTAAGATGTAACAATAGAAATGTATAAGAAGCAGTAGTTTTATGGCCAGATAAATGGCCTTTTTCCCTAAGTGCTCTTGAAACTGAGATTCGTTGCAGGTATTGAAGTGATCATGTGAAACTCATCACTTTAGTAGAAGAAGATGACATTTATGGAATTGCTGCCCACCATTTGCATTCATCCCTTCCTTAGGTTCACCTGGACCACCAAAAAATGTAAAGGTAGATGAAATTACAGATACAACAGCTCAGCTTTCTTGGAAAGAAGGTACAGATAACCACAGCCCAGTTGTATCCTATGCAGTCCAGGCTAGGACACCCTTCTCCGTGGGCTGGCAAACTGTCACAACAGGTAAAGGGGAAGAGGCAGATGCCATCAGCTCCCATAAATGAATTTCAGATCACTTCTAGGACATGCAGACACTCTTACCTTCTAATCTGTTCCTTTGCAGTGCCTGAGGTCATTGATGGCAAAACACTCACAGCTACTGTAGTGGAGTTAAACCCCTGGGTAGAATATGAATTTCGGGTTGTAGCCAGTAACAAAATTGGAGGTGGAGAACCCAGTTTACCCTCAGAAAAAGTAAGAACTGAAGAGGCAGGTTAGTGTTTCTGTTTTCTGAGTATTGGGTTAATAGATCTGACTGCCTTGGGTGTGTGTCTCCATGTCCCTGGGCTCTGGTCTCTAGAGCCGTAGGGAATCTGTCACAGTTATCTGACCATACTAATAGTAGGATTCACCATATGGCATTTGTCAAAAGAAACACATGTAAGTGATTCTGATGTAATGTGACATTTCCAAGAGTTCAGTCCATTGTAAATGATCATTAGTGCATGTTGAGTGAATATGTTTTTGTCACTTAAGGTTATAATTACTATCTGACATAGTTACCCTGTTAGCAGGGGAAGCACTGTTTTCATTTATAACAAGCATTGACAAATTGGTAAGATAATGACATTTGGGAGTTCTGTTGCTAGGAAATCTCATTCTGCCACCAAGCTCAGTGAATGAGCTTATGTGATTGATGAATAGTACATTTTGGCTTCCTAAGAAAGAGTAAGTGTTAAGAATTTCCAGTTTCCATGTGAGGCAACTATTAATGTAAACCATAAAACTACTTTTAAAATTCTAAAAAATATCCTAACATTAAAACTCAAAATTAGATAGCATGCATAGCATCACATTATAGAGACAGCTGACTCCTTTTTAAAAATGGTAAAATTACTTAACATTAACTAAAATGATGTTGGAGATTGAGCTAGCATATTATTTTAGGAGCTAAACCAAGATAAGAGGCATGGAGTGTGTTTCCATAATTTTATTTATTTATTTTTATTTTTGGCAGTCCTGGGATTTGAACTCAGGGCCTCTCACTCACTAAGTAGATGCCCTACCATCTGAGCTACACCTCCAGTCTTTTATTGCTTTACTTATTTTTCAGGTGGTACAATCTATCAAAGGGCCCTGTGTAGCTGGAACCACAGGTGCACTCCACCACACCTGGCTTATTTTATTGACATGGGGGTCTTGCCAACAGTTTTGCCCAGGCTACCTTCAAACCATACTCTTCTACTCCTGAATAGGTGGGATTGCAGGCATGAGTCACCACATCCAGCCATCCATAATCTTAATGGTGCTGTTTAACTCAGAACGGTGCAAATAATGTTTATGAAAGGTATTATGAGAAATAGGGGAAGTGTGCCTTCCTGATATTCCTTTCACTTGTTTATATAACGTGTATTTAAGGAGTGTCTAACATGAGCCCAGAAAATACAGCTGCGAATATGATAAAGACCTGCTTTCACAGAATTTATATGCTAATTGAGTCACAGGGTTGCCTGTGTGCATTTTATAAAGAATATCTAACAGTATCTGAAGGTTCCAGTCTGAAGCATTCTTCTGTTACCGTTAACTTACATTTGCACTTGGAACAGTCACAGATAAATGTCCATGCTAGACTGGTTTCCTGTCCTCCCTAGTGAATTGCTTTTCATGTTTTATTAATCTTCACACTAGTTGCAAAGTATCTTTCAATTGAGTTATTTTTTCCTCTGATTTGAGAAGTTTTCAATTATGGTTTCATGTAAGTGAAATTATTAGATTGCTTCACCAAATCATTGATAATTCCCTGCAAGTATGAATTATTTTGATGATCTTATCAAAGGTATATGGGTGTATGTGTTAATGATGAAGTTATTCAGATATTAAAATTAGGTAACATCAAGTCTTTGAGATAAATATTACTATGTGAAGAACAGTTCTCTGTCTCTCTGATCCACACAGTTCCAGAAGTGCCTCCTTCTGAAGTCAATGGAGGAGGTGGAAGCCGTTCTGAACTGGTGATAACCTGGGATGTAAGTATTGGGGCTGTTTCTTCCTCAATGGGCCCTGGCTCCTCTCACAGTCAGCATGGCCTCCTAGGTGGTGCTGGGTGCTGGTGATGCCGATGGTGCTAGTGATGGTAGTGTTGGCAGTGCTGCTGCTGGTAGTGCTTATGCTGGTGCTAGCACCGATTCTGGGGGTACTGGTGGTGCTGGCAGTTGTGCTGCTAACGGTGGTGGTGTAGTGCTGTTAGTGATGTCAATAGGAGTGGTACTAATGGTTATAGTGGAGTTGATGGTGCTGGCAGTGTTGGTCCTCACAGGGCTATTGATGGTAGGGTCGGTGCTGGTGGCACTGGGGCTGGTGGTAGTGCTGGTAGTGGAAGCACTTGTAGTGCTGATGCTGATGCTGATGTTTTTAAGGGTGATGCTGTTGGCACTGGTAGTAGTGTTGATGCTGGTACTGATTGTGCTGGTGGCTTTTGTAGTAGTGTTGGTTGCACTGGTGGTGCTGGTAATAGTGCTGGTGGCAATGATAATACTAGTGTTGGTGACACTGACAGTGCTGGTGGTAAGGTTGGTAGTGGTGCTGGAAGCACTGGTAGTACCAGTTGCGTTGGTGGTGAGGTAACACTGGGGATGCTGATGAGGGTAGTGGTAGTGCTGGTGGCAGTGGTAGTTCTGGTGGTAGTTCTGGTAGTAATACAGCACACCTCAGGGTGCTGTATTAGCACTCGTGCTACTGGTGTTGCTGCTGGTGGTGGTGCTTGCGGTCACGGTGCTGTTCTGGTTCAGTGGGTATTGGTGGTAGTGATGATCTAAGTGGTGCTCCTGCTTGTTCTAGTGGCAGTGACTGGTGATGGCTCTGGTTGTAGTGCTGCTGCTAATGGTGGCACACATAAGTAGTATAGGTGCTGGTGTGTTCAGCCATGTGCATGATGGTGGTGTTGCTACGGTTGACACTGATGGTGATGGTGATGGTTCTTATTGTGCTGACATTGGTGCACCTGGTGCAGGTGATACTTGTGGTGGCACTGATGATGGTTCTCTAGTGGCAGTGTTAGAGTTAATGTTGCTTATGCTGCTATTGGAACTGGTGCTATGGTGCTGATAATGGTGCTTGTGGCACTATCAGTACTGGTGGTAGTGGATTTGGTGGTGCAGGTGCTGGTGCTATTGTTGACAGTGGTGGTACTGTTGACCCTGCTGCTGTAGTAGTGGTGATACTGGTGACACAGGTGTTAATGCTGACACTGGTGTTGTTGGTGAGGGCTGATGGGGCTGATAGTTAAAGTAGTATTGGTGCTTGTTTTCAGGGTGATAGAGCTGGTGACATAGGTGTATGTAATAATACCCTTGATGGTGGTGGCATAGTGGCTCTGGTGGCATTTTTGGTGCTGGTGCTGATGGTGGTGATAGTATAACTGATAGAATAGGTGCTGGTGGTTCTAGTGGTTCCAGTACTGATGATGATGGTGATGCTGATCGTGGACTGGTACTGGTGGCTCTGCTTCTAGTAGTTGTGCTAGTTTTGGTGGTGTTGGTAGTGGTTACAGTGGAGCTCATGATGGTGGTGGTGGTACTGCTGCTGATAGTAGCTCTAATAACTAACGTTTTTTGAATGCTCACTCTGTGACAACCATTGTTCCTGTCATTTTCTATATAATTTTCTCATTCTCTCTCTGCAACACTAAGATGTTACACTTAGATGAAACACTAAGGCACAGAGGTAATAAAGCAGTTTTCCAAAGATTACCGGCTGGTAAACATAGGGGTGAGAGTCATTTCGTGGCTGTTCAGTCTTGTGCCCTCAAAGCTTTTCCTGCAGTTCTCTGTACCCCACTGATGGTGTCACACACTCCAGCAGGTGTTTGACTCCCTGTTTCTTTCCTGGCCATTTCCTCAGCCTTTGCTTTATGTCCTAATTAGAAAAGATATGTAATTAACATGTTTAAAGTTTAAAGGTACTAGTAATAAATGCTGTATTATTTGAAGATGTTGATAAAGTTATAATCTCATGGTAGAATGCTAGCAGAATTTGTCATAGGTCCACATACAACTTTGAATTTAGTAAGATGTATTTACTTCTTTTTTTTTTCTTTACTCCTTTGTACTTAGACATCATATCAAGATGTGAATTTTTTCCATAAAGTCAACATTGGGGATCTGATCATTTTTCGTTTGGCTTAAGATATCAGACACATTTGACTGAAAGTATACCTTATTATAAACACAGAATTGGTCCATAAAATGCTCAGATATATGAATAATTGTGACATTTTCTACTTAATTATCCATATGCCTATATAGATAAATGAAGCTGATCAGACTTCCCCACTGGTATTTTTCTCCTTTTTCTTTTTGTCAGTGACTGGGATAGAACCCAGTGCCTTGCTAGGCAAGTGCTCTACCACTGAGCTATACCCCAGTCCCCTCTTTCTGCTTTCTTAATCCAACTACTTAGTACAGTGTAGATTGCTATTTAATGACATTTACAAAAAGCTAAGGATGAAAGCTCTATTCATTTTTGCCTTGCTCTTGTGTGTAAGGGTGATTTAATATGTCTTTCCTTTTTAGCCAGTCCCTGAAGAACTACAAAATGGTGAAGGTTTTGGGTATGTTGTTGCTTTCCGCCCTCTTGGGGTTACCAACTGGATCCAGACGGTGGTGACATCCCCTGATGCCCCAAGATATGTCTTCAGGAATGACAGCATCGTGCCATTTTCACCATATGAAGTTAAAGTGGGAGTTTATAATAACAAAGGTGAAGGGCCATTTAGCTCAGTGATGACAGTATTCTCTGCAGAAGAAGGTATGGAAAACAGGGTTATGTTTTAGTTTCAACTCAATCAATCAATTGTATTCAAAAACCAATTTGGAAAGTCTTTGTAACACAGATACTTTTTTTTGAAACAACAATAATCAAAGTTGTAGTTAGATTGCCAGTGTAGGTCGTACAAAGCAACTATAAGGTACCTGAAGTATGAGACTTAATGGAGACTTAAAGAATGTAACTCTGTTCTTGAGGAACACATCCTGAGTCCCAGCCTACAGCACAGGAGACAATATTCCCTTCCACAGTTTATTTTTCTTCTTGGTATAAGAATAAGATTGTTCCTTGGAGCTACGATGGTCCAAAGTTTTGTAGTTGTTCCTCTGGCCTGAAAAAAAGGACATTAGCATGATGGCAATTGAGCATCAAGAATTTGACATTCAAGGGATGTGGAACGTACACCATTGGAAAATGAGTTCCAGCTCGTGTAGGTACATGCATACTTCTCTCCCAGCCTGTTTCATTCCTCTGCCTTTCTTTCCTACCTGCTCCAGTTATTGAGACATCTGTATTTTCTCTCAAGTCTTCCTTAGAAAATAATAACAAATTTAGGAGACTCATACAAAATTATTATTTTACAGATTGACAACAACTCTATAGTGACTCTCTCCTCTTGCTCTCTGTGATAAAAATGGTGGAAGCTAACATGTAGTGTATGCTTTCCATCTGCCAACTATTACTAATTAGGATTTTCAAGTAAAGGACGATATGTAGGTACTATTGTTATTCCCCGTTTACAAATGAGAAAATGGAATATTGTAGAAAGAGATGAATAAGTTTGTCAAAATCCATTTTCTAAGTGGTAGAGTCAATATTTTAACTCATGGCCATGCTGAGCTCATGAAATATAACATCACAATACTTCCCCTCCAGAACCTGGCAGTAAATTGTCAAAAGTGGTTCATAGTTGTATTTGCTAAAAATTAGAAGTAGAATCAGTTTTTCTTAGCATCCCCACCCCTATTCTTAACTTCTCATTTTCCTTTGAATTGTAAGAGAGATGAAAATAGTTATTATAAACGTGTTTGAAAAAGAAATTGTCTTATATTCATAATCAGACCCATTTCTAAAAGCTACCAGTAATTACAAAGGCAGGTCAGGGGTCTAGGAAGTGATTCACAGAACCAGGGAGTTTTTCTACACTTCTAGGACCTGAAGACTGGCAGCAAGAGGGAAGAGACAGTCACAACTTTAACCCATTCTTGCTTCCCTCACTTGCTTTTTCCTGTTACTATTCCTGCCCCCACTAGTGAAGTTAGCAAAGGACTTTTTGTTCAAACATCAGAAGTGAAGTCAGCCTGCCTAAGAAATAATTTAGAAATATGCTAGGACCTCTCAGGGAATGAAATGGGGTTAAAAGGCAAACCTCATGAAGAACCCTAATCAGAGGAGCTCTGAGGCTCAGAAAATGATTTTCTCCTCTTCAGTGCCAGCACTGGATTGATTGCCCCCAAAGTACTCCTTATCTCTCCAAACCAAGGTTCAGATTCTCCAGAGAGAAAATCTACTAGGTTCATCCTAAAACCACGCTAAGGAGCAGGATCCTGCTAGGAAACAGGATCACTTGAAATAGATAGGGAAGAAGGATTCCTTCTTGAAGCCATGTCTCGAGAGTGTAGAGTCACTGTTAGCCCAATGAAACTCAAGAGTGTTTATTACAAAGCATATGTTCTTACTAAGTAATACCATGGGCATATCTACCTACTCTTCCTAAAAAGTGGCTGCCATCCATCTAATATAAACTTGTTCCTTCTGTGGACCCAACCAAGAGAAGGTATTTGCTTCATGCTTTTGAGTAAGTAAACTTTACTTGACCTTTGTTTGGCAACACAGAAGTCAGTACCATTTGTGAGCACAGGAGTTCTCAAGCACCTGCTGTGGGATGAAGGGGAATGGAAGAGAGACAGGGTGAAGAAAACAAAAGGATATAGGAAAGGAAGATAGCAAGAAAGAAGTAGAGGGAGGAAAGAACAGGTTGCTATGGCTACTAAGCGAGGACAGCTTTAGAGCTTCCTAAGCTATATACCAGTCTCTATATTTTCAAGACATGGTGCACGCTTTCAAATATTTTTACAGGAAAAATATGAAATTTTCCCATATACTAAAATGCTTTGTTACAAAATAAAACTTTTAAAAGGATTTTTAATTAACTGCCAAAATTTTCATCATATTTCAATTTCTGTTTCTAAACAGAGCCTACGGTAGCTCCATCTCAAGTCTCTGCCCATAGCCTGTCGTCTTCAGAAATTGAAGTTTCATGGAATACCATTCCCTGGAAGTTGAGCAATGGACATTTACTTGGCTATGAGGTAGTTTCCTTCAAAATTTACTTGTGTTTGCATATTACTATATGTGTTAGACTTTTTGTCACTGTGACAAAATATCTGATATAAACAATTTCCAGGAGGAAAGATTTGTTTTCACTGATGATTTCAGAGGTCTCAGTCCATGGTCAGTTGGCTCTGTTACTTTTAGATCCATGCCAAAGCAGAAACATCGTGGAGGAAGGGCATGGCAGAAGAAAGCTATTTATCTCATGGCAATTAGAAAGAAAAGAGGAGTAGTAGGAAAGAGCCAGGACCAAAATAATTCCAGTGATCTACTTCCTCCAAGTAGGGCCACTTTCCACAGTTCTACCACCTCTCAATCTGTTTAAATTTTGAGTATAACAGTGGATTAACTACTGAGTAGGTCAAAGACCTCATGATTGTCCCTGAAAATGTCCTCACAGACACACTGAGGTGTGGTGTGCTTTACTAATCTTCTGGACATCTCTCAATCCAGTGGAGTTGACAATGAAAATTAACCATGGCACCATGTGCCTTGTCTCCTTTCATTTAAAAATCTTCATAAAAATGACATCTTAGATGAATTCTGTCTTTATTGCCCCATATTGCCCCATCCGATTATCACTGGAATTTGACTAAGCATGTTGAATGAAAATAACTTTAGTGGACATGGAAAAGGAACAAACAATGACTATGAAAAGAAGTCAAGCATTGCTATGAGCCACATGTTTTAGAGGGGTTGACTGAAAAATAATGGTGAGACTAAACTGCAGTATCAAGTTTATAGGACAGTATGTCAGTAGGAAATCATGCTCCTCCAGCATGATTATTTCCTCAGTGGCCTTGTTTACTTTCTAAGATTCTCTTGTAGATTACAGAGAAACTCGCTGCCTATAACATAATTCTTGATTCCCAAAACCTGTGCATTTGAAGAAATAAGATGAAATAGCTGAAAGAGAGGATAACCTAGGACTAAATGCAGTGAAGGTCAAAGTAGGTCACCCACACAAGAAATATTTGGGTGGATAAGAAGGGTGAGCCATCTTGATAGACTTGATAGGGTAGTAACGCTTAACCATAACTCTACAGGAAAAGTAGGTAAATATGGAGGTACCAAAAACATCCCAGATTGAGCATGGCATGTTCAGTGAGTAAAGGAGAAGAGTCTGCCTGCAAAACGTGGTTCCATTGGACAGCAGTGATGCCAATGATGCACAATAAGACCAAGACACACATGGCACATAGAATACTAAGAAGAATCATTTGAACCAAGCCACATATTAGTAAGGGGCAGTATAGCTAAGAATTGATGAGATGAAATAAAGTTTTAAGATTCTATCCAATAATAATATTGTAGGACATAATAATAGGAATAATATTCTAGGATTTCATCCCACCCCCAGCTGTCTTCATAGGAAACTCCACTCATGTGCATAACTCCTGATTTTGGCAGGCTTACGTAGGCACATTTCCTTCACATGACCACATCTTTTTCCAGTTACCAAAACAACTACAAATGATTGTGGCAACTTGATTAGAGGCAACTGATCTCTAAACAGATAAGTAGAAACAGTAAGATTCTTATTTGTGATATTTAAGTAAGCAGTATAGTGATTGTTGTTAGTGAGTATAATGAGATAAAATGTCATCATAGTGTGGCATGTGGCTCAGTTCATACTTCTCAAGCTGCGGCCATAGGAAATCAGGAAAAAGCTGGACTGTAGAGATGAAATTGAGAAGATGTGCTCCCTTGTCACCCTAAAGCAAGAAGTAAACAAAGGCTCTTGGGAACTTAAAGAGAATAAAAGAGAAGAGCTTTTTTGACAATTGCCCAATTGTCAAATGGTCTGGTTGAATTCTTTTCTTACAATATTACTTTGCCCTTCTTCTCAGTAAATTCTCTTTATATTTCAACAACTTTGAGAGTTTCTGTTCCTTGCAACCAAACTGAACAAGTATTAACACATGAAATAGAAAAAGGTACCAGAGCAATGATGTTCCAAATATAGACCATGGGCATCCTCCCCAGGATTACCTAAATTTATCATTTAAAGCAAGCTCCCAGTGCTCACCATGACTTTACAACACCTATGTTCTCTTGGTAATGCATATTTTTTGAAAGTATCCATAAGGAAACATCATTGTGCATATTTAAATGTAAGAAACACAGATCTCACCAGAGACCTAATTAGAAACAGATTCATCCAGACTTAAAGAAAGAGAAGTGGGAAAGAAGAAGTAAGACACCACATAAGTACAACAAAGCAATGTGGTCAGCATCTTAAAGGAAACTGAGAAGTGTGGGATGGTACAGTCACCTGTTTCTATGACAGTGGGTGAAAGTCATGTACTATAATGAGGTGCCAACAGCAGCTAGCCACTGGTGAGAAAACTGGCAGGAACATTGACACTGAAGCTAAGTGGGATGGAAGCATGAACACAACTTGTAAGGCAGAGCCTTGAGGCCAGTTCCAGAGCAAATCCCAATTCTGCCATTTACACTGTGTTGGAGAAGTTACAAAAGCTCCGTTCATCTCATTTTCCTCACTTGCAGGATGGAACAGTAGGATTTTAAGAGAATCAAATGAGATGAGATTGGTAATGTGTTTCTCACAATTTACAGCTCATCATAATAAGCAACCAGTTGGTGGAAATCATGCCTCCAAAGAATTTTTGAGATACTAATTTATCTATTTCACCCCAGCAAATAATCTCAAGCAAATCCTCAATTATAGCCACCTCCCTTCAAGGAAGCTTGTGGAAGGCTATCAAGAAGAGTTGCTTGAAACATACTTCCCTTCCTAGGTTTATTTCCAAAGTTCAGGAACTTAAAAGAGATCATCCTATGTGTCTTGGAGAAGGAGAAGAGAGAAAATGTAACTGAGGAAAAAACAAAGTTTTGGATTACCTGGAGGAAATAAAGTTCTGAGGCTTACAAAATCTTCTGGACCCTCATCTTCTGTAGGAAGTGTCCAGGTTGATGGCAAGAACATAGAACGGAGAAACCGTGCTTCCCATTCGTCGGCGATTTCCAATTCAGTAAGAATAGCCTGAACTGCTAGAAATAATGGGATCAAATCAAATATCATAAGAAGTTACCTTGTCAAGGCTTTGAGAAGGGAACCCCTGTAGTGACCATAGTTGAATTTTCTATTAACTAAGCAGGATATGGGATTCGATGTGAAATCAAATTTGTTTAAAGAAAATAAATTGACACATTTGAGACTCCTCAAATAGGAGACTGAGATGCACACTCACCATGAAAGCCTTTGCCCTCTATGAGCCACATGACAGGATCCTAATATCCATCCTAGTTGTACCTCGTGAAATAGTTAGAGAAATCAATGGAAGAATATTTAGAAGTAGACTTATGGGCTTATAAATATCAGTGGAGAGTTAGCAGTGCTAGTTGTTGGATAACATGGAAGCAAGTATCTCCACTTCTGAATATGTAAATTCAGAATATAAGGAGTCATTCAAATAGTGACATTCTATATGAAAGCAAAATTACACCACTTTTGATCATGTCAGAAAAGAGTTTGATTGAAAGACAGAAAACTCAAAGAACCATGGTAGAGTCATAATAGCATCTAGTTAAATCCATACCATTTTAAAATTGGACAAACCAGCATTCAAATCTACTAGGTTAGAATATAAGCTTCACAAGGGACAAAAAATGCTGCCTATTTATTTACAAATATTCCCCAGGTGCCCAGAGTGGTATCTGGCATACGGGCAGCATGCAAAAAATATGTGTTGATTAAATCAGAGCGGTTTTGGCTTTGCATTCTCAGTGCTGCATGTCCTTGAGCAAGTTATGAAAGCTCTCCAAGGCTCAGTTAAAATAGAGATAATAGTAATCAATAACTCATAGCCTCGTTTGAGAATTAAATGTAATAAAACAGCCTTTGTCAAAATGGTCCAAAGAGACTTGAAGCTTCTACTTTCTCTGGTTTGAATATTGGGCTTTGGGGTGAGATTTCATTGAAAGAAAAAAATGGAAAACCTAGGAATTAATATAGGAATAGTCCAATCCCAGTGTGTGGATCCAATGGCTGTTGTTGTTGCTATTGCGGTGGGAGGCAAAAGATAAGAATGCTGATAAAAGGAGACTTTTCTTGGTATTAACTACAAGTTGAAATTCATTGCCTCTTGTTTATTTCTATAAAAAGTAGCAAACAGAATAAACAAAGGTAGCAATAGTAATTGAAAACAACTCATTTCCCTAGATTCTTGGCATTGTATGAAGAAAAAGAAAACAAACAAGAGAAAGTTATATTAATTGGGAAAGTCTTAAGAAGTAATTTGTGTGATGTTACCAAGATAAAAATATGTCTTTCCTGAAGTTTCAGCAATGAGTTAAAAATTAACTTGGACAAGTACATGACTTAGCAGAGTATTTAATTATCAGTCGTATGGCTAACTTTCTGGGATGTAGTTTCCCCAGTTCATCTTTAAAATTGTTAATGGCTCCTGCCTTTCTCTCATCTCAGTAAGAGTTGATCAGGTGCCACGAAGCATGCTGTGCACACATCATCATTAGCATCGAGACTAATTTTCTTTCTGATTTGACCAAGCAGTAGTTGAGGAGCTCATTTCCCTGGGCTCCAATTTATTTCATCTCCTAAGTCGTTACACTCAGGCTCAGATCTTTTCTGGTGCCCTTTTGGGTAGGAACAGAGAGGCAGGCATAGTAAAGAGAAGTAAGAAGACTTTAAGTTCAGGGAGAGTGGGTGCCGGAAGAACCAAACTCCACAGGTCTCACATAGTATAGACTGTCTATTTCTTTAAAGTCATTTTGTATTTTCAAAGAATACACTATAATTCATAATAGCCTACTATATATTTTAATCAACTTGAAAAGAGGGGCCTAAAGGCACCAAATAAAAAGAAATTATAAGGAAATGGTAATGCTAACTGCCCTGATTTGATCAATAGGTGATATATATCGTCATTGAAATGTCACACAGTACCACACAAATATGTGGAACTGATACATGTTAATAATAAGTTAAAATTAA